CCAGTACGAGACTCGAACCCGCAACCTTTGGGTTACAAGTCCGACTCTCTAACCATTAGGCCACGACTTTATGTCAAAAGTCTAATGGTTTTCTCTTGCCCTCAGGTCATCGGGGCCAAATGAACACGGCAGGAGCTCCTCCACTGTCATCAGTTTGTAAGATCCATCAGATTTTGAAATATAAACGTCCCACTGTGAGCCAAACTGTAAGACAGGTGACATAACCAGTCTGTTAAGTGACAGTATCAATGGAAGCTGAAAAATTATGTGTATTACTCACATTCTTTTGCAATTTTATTTTTTATTTATTTTTTGAAATTCTAAGCCACACTTACATTTCACAAAATCCCACTATTTCCAAACATGCAGTTTGCTGACTCGTGTTTTGATTTTCCCTGATGGCTTGTTTTCGCAAGCCACAACTTCTCTGTTTTTGTGAATTATAGTAATAACAAAACAATAAAAAATGATCCGTTTGCGTGATTTTATTTTTAGAAGAACTGACCTCTCTCATGAACTGCCTACAGGCTCCACATGGAGAAATAAAGCGATCTTCAAGGTCACTGCACAAAAGTCAGTTAAGGAACTTTACTCAACGCTACTTATACTTCAGCCAATACATACATATAGCTATATAGTGAATTACCTGGCAATTGCGATGGCTTTGAAGCTCTTATGTCCCTCAGACACAGCTTTAGAGATTGCAGTCCTCTCAGCACACAATCCAGCAGTGTAGCATGCATTCTCTACATTGCAACCTGTTAAACATCACCATATGCTGAAGAACCATGAAAAACAGACACAAAATATAGCTACAAAACTAATGCATAGACTACCATTCAAAAGTCTGGGTTTAGTAAGATTTTTCTTAAAAGACATTAATACGTTTATTCAGACAGAATGCATTTAATTAATCAAAAGTGACAGTCAAGGCATTTATGAGCCTAAAGATTTCTATTTCAAATAAATGCTGTACTTTTGAACTTTCCATTCATTCAAGAAGCAACACACCTGTTTTCAACATTGATAATCAGAAATGTTTCTTGAGCAGCAAATCAGCATATTAGAATGATTTCTGAAGGATCAAGTGACACTGAAGACTGAAGTAATGGTACTGAAAATTCAGCTTTGCATCATAGGAATAAATTCCATTTTAACATATATTAAAAAAGAAAGCAGTTATTTTAAATTAGAATAATATTTTACATTATTACTGTTTTTACTGCATTTTTGATCAAATAAATAGAGCTTTTGGTGAGGACAAGACTTTACATAAAAACATTAAATAATTTCAAGAACCCCAGACATTTGAATGTTATATACTGTATATATTTGTAGTTTCAAATAGCAAAGACATATTTTTTAAGAGTGTCCTCACCTGTGAAAACGGTTCCATCGCTTGTTAAGACAGCTGCTCCAACTCTGAACTTGCTGTAGGGACAATACGCCTGTTCTTTGGCTTCCTGAGATTTCCGAACAAGTGCTTCTGGGCTCCAGCTATTCATAATGCTGCTGACTGGAGACTCTGTTCTGACTGCCAGGCACTACATGGCTTCAAGTCACAAGTTAATGTGTGTGTGTGTGTGTGTGTGTGTGTGTGTGTGACTAAAGGAGGAAATCAGTGATGCAATGACTCTGACACTTAGCATGGAGTAATTTGGTGCAGCAATGTCAAAATTCCCATTTACTTAATAATTCATATAGATGACAAGGTGTGAAATTCCACGAACAGGATTGTGCATTGCAGCGTTCTGACAATCATTAGACAGAGCACCGTCAACATAATGAACAAAACATTTTCACTTACCTAAATGTGGTCTAAACATTTATTCTCATGAGTACTAGAAAATATTTAATTGAGGTAATTCACAAATTGAAAGTAACCAGACGGCTGAGTAAAGATCATCCTGCTTACCCAGTCCAGAGTTCAGAGACTCATATGACAATAATAAAGAGGCAAGTAAGAGCTTGTTGTAAACTTTATGTATTTAAACTGTGACAGTTCCATCAATCTTACTGACAGCTAGATTCCGTCCAGGTCATGCCATCAAACAGATGCATCCTGGGATGCTTTTTAAATCATATTGAAGGACTTTTCTATCTTTTCCAACATTTAGAAAAACTACATAGAATACAGTTTTCTAAAGAAATTCATATTGGCACAGTTTATATTTATCTTCAAAACTAATTTCAAGCATACGTGTGAATATATATATATATACGTGTGTATATATATATATATATATATATATATATATATAT